CAGAAGATGATAGAGGGATGGATACAACCTGCAATGGATGAGCTGCTTAACTTGGTTCATTAGACTTGACAAAACCTTCAAACCTAGCATCCTGGAGTGGTTGGCTGGGGTAGGACCCACCTCAGTGATTACAGTTATTAGGAATAGTCTGGTTATGCCTGCTATGACTATACACATTTCTCTTTCACAGGACATGTAGGTCATTAGAGCTGCAATTCTAACAACACTTTCCAGGAGGTAAGTCCCACTGAGAGATCTGCTGAAGATTGCGCCCTTAATAGTTATAGAGGACTAGAGAATGAATCTGATGTGTTCTCCAGTATGAAATGTGGATCTGTCAGCTGATTTAAAATGTATAGTGCATTGACTACTTGGTCTTAAATGAACTGTTGAAGTAATAAACTGATAAAAACTCAATGTTTCATGTGCATAAGTTCCCACATTCAGTCCCTGACATCTCCAGTTCAAATAATAGAAGTATAGAATAATTAAGTTGGGAGGGGCCATACAAGCCATTTAGTCCAACCCTCTGCTCAATGCAGGATCAGCCTAAAGCAGCCCTGACACATGTTTGTCCAGGAAGTTTCCTGCGATCATGTCATCAAGGTACTGCAGTAACTTGGGTTTCCCCCCAGGATATTTCATTTAAATAATATATTATGTATTGAAATATTTATGACTTTCCTTTCAATGCTTCTGGTCAGTTACCAAAAGCCAATATACAAATTAAAACCACATTAGACTAAAATATTGAAAATGACAAAGCCCTCAAAGACAATCACCAAACAAACATAACTTAAAGTAACACAGGGAAGTACCTGGAGATTTTGGAGGTGGAGCCTCAGGAGGGCACAGTTTGGGGTATAATGCCATAGAGTCCAACTTTCAAAGCGGCCATTTTCTCCAGATAAACTGATCCCTGTCATCTGGAGATCAGTTGTAATAGTGGGAGATCTCCAGCTATCACCTGGAGATTGGCAACTCTAAAGTAACACCACTTTTGAGCACTCCCAAAGCTCCCTGGTAGAGAACTGCCTGAGACATATCTACCATGGGAGGGAGTTCCACAGTTCTGATATTAGTACAAGGAACACCATTGTCTTCATAGCCAACCACCATACAACAAATGTGGTTAGGTGGCCAAGGATGATCTTGATGTCCAGGTTGGTTTGTATGGGAATAGGTGATCCTTCTTCTTGGTCAAGTAAGGCCTGATTTAATTGTGATGCTGGCAAGCAGAATTTATCTTCATGATGTGTATGATGGAGTATTGAATCTTTTTCATATTTCATATACTTGGGACCAAAGTACTAATAGGTTTTGGTCTGGACACATTATACTGTGTCATTTCAATACTGAAATGTATATTAATAGTTTAGTGAACACTGGGATAGTCCAAAGTCCACACTTCAATGGAATAGTGGGCTGTCCAGTAATGTAGTCTTGATTAATAGCCACTGAACAAAACTGCTCAACTACATCAGCCACTGGGATCCAAAAGTGTTTTATTATGTGCCAGATTGAATTCTTACAGCTGAATCCTAAATCTGCTTCTCTTGGAAGTCCTATTGAATTCACAGAACTTTTCTCCCAAGTAAGGCCAAATAGGATTGCAACCTTAACTGAAGGATGCCCTTAGTTGTCCCAATTTCATGAATGGCTGCTTTCTAGAAATATGAACCACAACTTGTTTTATGACCTGGCTAAGCTAAAGTACCTGGATCCAAACTGAGTTGATGCCATCTACAAAACCCATCCCTGCATGTTCACAGTTTCAATAACTGGAGGATCTGACTGGGGTGATTTTTACTTCCCCACCTTAATTTCATTTATTGGATTTATAACCCGCTCTCCCTGGCAACTTGGCTCAGAGAGAGTAACATCTCTCCTTATAATTGTGAAGTGGGCTGGCACTTTCTGAACATTCCACATGCTCCTAAATCAGTTAACTTCATGATGTGTCGAACTCAGAAGCTGTCCCTATCCACTAGCTG